CGTTTAGCTCAGTTGGTTAGGTTGTTAGGTATATACTTCGGTCCCGGGTTCGAATCCTACTCCTCCCAAATTTGTTTTCAAAACTTTCTGCGAAATGATAGGTTCCCAAAATAGAATAAGGCAAAAAAAAATTTTTTATTGAATATTTATTTATTATTAATATTATTATTTGAATATAACTTGCCTTACTTTGTAAGCTTACCACAACCTTACCTCAACCTTACAACTTAATAATAACCTTACCACAGCCTTTACTCATAAGCTTACCTCAACCTTTACATGTAACCTTACCACAACCTTTACATGTAAGCTTACCTCAACCTTTACATGTAACCTTACCTTAACCTTTACATGTAAGCTTACCTCAACCTTTACTTGTAAGCTTACCATCTGGGCGGAACTTTTGAGTTCACCTTAAGTCTACCACAGCTCTATCGCGTAACCTTACAAGCCATACGATTAACCCTTACCACAGCCTTACAGCAAAATACTGTGCTATGTGGGCATTGTGCGAAATAAGAAAGTTAATAAAGTTAAAATAATATAAAAGTGCATGGTGTCATTTTAAATTATATGTATAATTTTTTTATAATTATTGTTTTAAGAAGGTGTAATAAAACAGTTAGTTGGAAATTATTGAAACAGATATTAAGCAAAATAAAATACATTTTATTTTAAAAAATAAAAAAAAAGTAAAAAATTTTTAAAAAAATATTATCTAAAAAAAAAGATCATCAGAACAAATCTAACATTTATTACAAAATTTTCTTAATATTTTCATTTGTGTAAAAATAAAAAAAAGTAAAAAAAATCGGACAAGTGAGAGTTACACTCGCATTAAAGCCGAGGGTTTCGTACTCTTATACTTAAAATTTGAAGGGGTTAAAGTGTAAAGGCTGTTGGAAAAATTCTAATTTTGCTTAACTTTTCTTGTAATGTGAGCATGAAAACACATAAATAGACAAATAGATCGAAAATTATCCGTTTTTCCTTGAAAATGGTATGATAATCAACTCCAATCGTACTCACTATATTTTTTTGGTAATCTACACATCAAAATATGTAAAAATGTATAAATTTGAATTCCTTAAGATAAAATTTTCTTATTTTGCTTCCTCATGAAGAAGCTTTGCATTCGTGACGATTTTTAATTTTTTAAAATTGGATTATATGGACTCATTTTTATCTAGAATTGATATATGTATATGCACGGAGAAAAATGAGTTTGCTATTATATGGATAGCTAATTTTTAGCTACAGTAGCTAATATTTAGCTGTTACAGTAAACTATTTTAGCCATAGTAGCTAATTTTTAGCTGTATTAGCTAACGAAAATTGCTGTCCATATAATAACAAATAGGGTTAGCTAAAATAGCTAAATTTTAGCTAATATGGCTAACTTTTTTTCTCCGTGTGAAGTTCTGAACAAATGTCCAGATGTATATATATGTGTGTGTGTGTGTGTGTATGTCACAAAATATTGTGTGCAAATTATTTCAGAAACGTTTTAATGGATTGTCCTGAAATTTTATATGCTCATTGTAATCGTTAATGCTTAAAATCTGACACAAAGATTTTCGAATATATTTACAACATTTTTTTCCAATTTTTTCAAAATTGGAAAATTTTTTTTTTTCAAAATATTTTTTTCTTTGTATATTTAATTTTGTTTGGTAAAAAAATTTATTTTTTGCATTAAAATGAATCGATTAACTTATATAAAGTTCATATTTTACTAAAATCTATAGATTAAATCATTTTTTTGGATTTTTGAAAAAAATCGTTTTTTGTATTTTTTGAAATATCTTTTTTTTAAATAGAAATTTTAATTAGGGGATACTGGGGTTGTTTGGCGCAGGGGTTGCTTGGCGCACTCGAGTTTTTTCGAAGGTTTTAAGTTAAATAATTTTTTCTCTCCGCTCAAGTTAAAGTACTTGATGAACTGTAAGTTAGTACAAAGTTTCATTTTTATTCATTAATTATTGTGGAGTATAGATTAAAATAATTGATTTTGGTACTCCAAAGTAAATTTTTAACCTCCTCATTTTTTTGTTATATCTTTTTAGGAAATGATTTAAAAAAAGGCCAAATATTAAGTTTTGAGCTCTAACCTATTGTTTTCAGAGAATAATAAAGAATTTTGGATATTTTGATGCGCTGATTACGGAAATGACAGTGAAAATTGGCGCAAATTTGATTATCATGGTAAAAACCATAAAAAAAACACCATAAAATCATGGTTTTTTGCGATTATCTCATAGAAATAAAAAAATTTCGAAAAAAGTTTTGGACTAAAGTTGTAGATCTCCAAAAAACACACATTTTATGTTTTATGCATTTTTTACCAAAAGTCATTATTTTTCGAGAAAAATGGTCCCAAAATAATTTGCGGAAATTGTGGGGTGGAGTCTACAGCAGCGGTAAACGCAAAATACTAAACACGGTCTTCGGCCGCGTAAAGTACTGCTCGCTTTTCTTTTTAAAAAAACCTTGGCGAGAGGGGGTGGATATGGCCGAAAGTATTTTGCGGAATTCGTTGGATCCTGAGTGATGGTGAATATGAATATTATTAAATTATAAGTGTTTTGCAACATTTTTTAACGTTATTTAATGCAAAAAATATATATTTACAATGTATGAATCAGAATATTAATATTGAAAAATATTCAAATTTTTTTTAAATCAGATTTTTCAAAATTTATAACTAACAAAAGTAGTAAAAATGACGACTTAAATAGTTAAATTACCAATTGGACAAGCAGAAAGTAGTCTTGGAGTAGTTTGCAGACTGTCGTAGCGAGCGTGCGTGGTTAAGGTATCGGATTGCGAGCGTTAGGGTAGAGGGTTCAATTCCCATCGGTTAGAAATTTTCTCTATTAGGTACATAATCGTTAGAGCATAAAATAAGCGTCAGTATAGGAGAGGGGATGAAAAAGTTAATTCTACTGATAATAAACAATTATAAATAAAAAATAATTTTATTTTCCTATTTTTAGTAGTAAAATCTACTACTTAAAGTAGTACTTTTTATTGCAATGAATTTTTTAATTCATGACATAAATGTTCTTAAAGCCTATTGAACCACTTTAAGTAGTAAAAGCTACTACTGAAAGTAGTAATTATAATTGCAAAAGATTTATTAATTTTACAAAAAAATGTTCTTACACCCTATTGAATACACAGAAAAAGCTTAGTCTCATTTTTGTTACATCTCAAAATGAGCCAATGCTAAACGACATAGACAGTGGCGCCACCAACCTGGCTCATATTTAAATGAGTAGCGCACGCTACTCATTTTGAGACTAGGTTTGAGCCCTATTGAAAATTTGTACAAAGTTTCCCACGTGTAATCCTTTAAAACGAATCTACAAGGAATCCTCATAAGATCCTTTATAACATCTTACGTTGGATGCATTTAAGGAAGCTTCCAGAAAACATACGACATTACTGTACGAATCTACTTTAGGCAATGTTACAGGAAACTATGTTAAAGGATCCTACAAAGGAAGTCACAACAAATGAAAATTTAAAAAAAATTTGATTATTTATTTATTCTTATTTTGTTGTCTTCCTTGTTCTTCGACTTCTAGTATTTTGGAGAAATATTTGAAAGTAAATTTGGAGGGACTGGGGATTGAACCCGGTTCGACCCGCGCTAGCTAAAGACCCTATACACTAACCTAACCACTGACACACTAATTTAAAAGTATCAAATTGATACCAAAACTATAAAATTGATATAAAAATTTCGATCAATTTGATATATTCAGTATGAGTTTGGTACTTTAAAATTATTATGCATCCATATAATATTCTAATATATCCGTTGCTATTAAGATTTTGCTTTTGCAGTCAGCTTAACTATACTTTCAACCATATATTAGTTATTTCAACTACAAATATTAGTAATTCCATCTAAATAAAATTAACTGCTAAAATTTAGTACAACTAGGTATGTAAGTTTAGTAAAAATGATTCTAAAACTGATAATTTCAACTACTTTTTTTAAACACTCTAATGTGGTGGATTTTATCATACTGATTTTTTTGAGTGTGATTTGAACTTTTTAAGCAAATAGAACTAAGAGCTCGTGTAAACCAGCATTTTTTTCTTTGAGTATAATTATACTTTCTAAGGTAAGGTTTTGATTCAAAATACAACGTCGGAATCGTAGAGATGAAAGTTTTTTATATATTAAAAGCAATTTTTGTGGAAATCAATATTTATAATAAATAATATTACACTTATTTATACTAATAACAGTTAGAAAATTGAAACTGAACTATTGTAATAAAAATTAGAAAATATTTTGAAAATTTAAAATATACGGATGTATAATAATATATAAATGTTTTGATTCTAAGATATATTTCTACAGAGAGCGTCACATGTATTGTTCTTTGAATTTAAAATGAAAAAAAATTATTTTATTTCCAAAAACATTCTAGAGCAATACATTTTTTCTATAAGATATACAACATTTTGTTTATTTGATGAATAAGAGAAAACTGAATAAACATACGGAGAAAACTGGAGTGTTAAATTTTTAATCTTAAAATAAATAAATTTGTGAAATAAAAATAAAATAATAAAATAAAAAAAATTAAAATAAATGAAATCAATAATTTGTTTTAACCACATTTAAAAATTTGTGCTTCTTATGGTTATTTGTTGTTAGCGACTAAAAATTCGTAAAATTATTAAAAATTATTAAAATTTATTATGACACAACTCAAATTAAATAATTTTAAATGTTTAAATTAATTTTTTTGCAATTAAATATTTTTAAAAAAATTGAATAAAACCGATAAAAGATTGTATTTTACCTTTCTGGAGTGTAAAACTACATATTTTAATTGCGACACTACGGAGATAATAATTTATAAACAATAGAGAGTTGTACTATAATTAAAACTAGAATTTTGACAAGTATTACACTCCTCAAGGTAAGTTTAACATTCTTTTTTTCTCCGTGCAAGAATAATAAATAAAATAAAGTATTTGTTAAAACAGTAAATAATAATATATAATGAATAAAAATAAATTATACAAATATGTCTAATACTACAATATATAATTCATAAATTTCTTTAATAGAGAAAAATAGCTTTTGGGTTTTCTTTTCTTTTCATGGTACCGATTTTCCGAAGAAACTTGCAAGGTTGGCAGTGGAATTCCGAAGAAAGGGCTTCTTTTCATCACATCAAGAGTGCCCGTCATTTGTATGACCTAATTTGAAAAAAATAATTCCCTTTATTAGTAAAAATACACTTATCTTAGTTTATTGATTATTCTTATTTAATTAATTAATTATATCCCTATTGAAAATCCCTGTACAAGATCGTGTACAAGAAAATGTACATGTTCAGCAGCTAAACTTGTAACTGTTCTGGTAAGATCTTGTACAATTTCCGCACCAGAATTTGGAACAAGTTCTTGTATTAGAACTTGTACAAGATCTTGCACAAGATCGTGTACAAAAATATATTTAATATTTATGTACATTTTCTTGCACAGGTTCATTTACGTCTTCGTTTAGTAAAAATTAAAAACTTTAAAGGCTGCGCAGTAGTTTTCTTAGAACTTTACAGCTGCGCAATAATTTTTGGCATGCTTAAGTAAAAGGTTTTAATAATTCTAAATTATTAAAGTCTCAAATTTTTTTCAAAAAAATTTTTTTAAATTAACTTGTTTAAGAACATGTACAAGAAAATGTACATTTTCTTATAAATAAATATAAATATAAATATATATATATATATATATATATATTAGGCGTGAAGGCGAACATAATTTGAAAATTTAGCCAAAGTCATAGAAAAAATCTGACATTACCCCAAAATTAGGGTCATAGGTTAGAAGGACGTAATCTGTGGTTACGGTAACCTTACAGCAACCTTACATCAACCTTACAATAACCTTACGGGAAGCTTACAACAACCTTACCCTGTAAGCTTAACACAACCTCATCATGCAAACTTACCACGACCTTACTGTGTAAGCTTACTGTAAGGCGGAAGTTTTAAGATGACCTCAAGTTTATTGTAGGCTTACACAGTAACCTTACAAACCCTACAGATATCCTTTCAGTAACCTCACAGCAAGAAGTCCTGCTATGTGGGCGCTGGCTGGATTATTATTATCCAGGTTTGCATTATGTGATGATTTTATGATTCCCTATGTAAAATTGGCACAATATATTATTAATTCTAATAATTCAGACAATATGAAAATGACAATAGTAAATAAATTTATTACGGAACTTTACTATACAGGGTGTTCCAAAAGTATGGAAACTTGCAAATATCTCGAAAAGTACAAATTTTCGTAAAAACTGTTCAAGACAAAAGTTGTTCCAAACAAAAAGATCTACATCTTTGAAACAAAAAAATTGGGCCCGAAGCCCAATGTTGGGCCCTACAATGAAAAAAGTGGTTTTCTTAAATGAGACCATTAATTTTCAGTATCCAATTCGTAATCCGCATGAAATTCTGCGTTCATACATGTGGTATAAGTGCCCAAAATATTGGGCCCAATCCAAGATATTGGGTCCAAAATTTTTCTACAGATACATAAATTTTAAAAAATCGCATCTTGGAGGGATTTTCAGATCACAGGATTAGAAATTTGAAGCTAATTTTCAAATTGGATCCAATGCCCAATGTAAGATTCCGCAACCCAATATGAGGGACCAATATTTTTGGAATTTGTACCACAAGTCTAATCACAGAATTTCATAACGATTATACGAAATGGAAGAAAACTAATTTTTTTACTGTAGGCCGCACATTGGGCTGCGGAATCTTACATTGGGCTCTGTGCCCAATTTGAAAAGTAGTTTTCAATTTCTAATCCTGTAACCCCCATAAACCCCAAATGATGCGATTTTTTAAATTTCTTTATTTAACGAAAAATGTTGGGCCTAATCCCAGATATTGGGCCTATTATTTTTGTCATTTTTACTACAAGTCTAAACGCAGAAATTCATGGGATTACCAGTTGGATACTGTAAATTAAGGGGTTTCAGACAACTAATTTTTTTTACTGTGGGCCTCACATTGGGCTCTATGCTCAATTTGGAAATTAGCTTCAAATTTCTAATCCTGTGATCTGAAAATCCCTCCAAGATGCGATTTTTTAAAATTTATGTATCAGCAGAAAAATTTTGGACCCAATATTTTGGGCACTTATACCACATGTCTGAACGCAGAATTTCATGGGGATTACGAATTTGATACTGAAAATTAGTGGTCTCATTATAGAAAACCACTTTTTTCATTGTAGGGCCCAACATTGGGCTCCGGGCCTAATTTTTTGGTTTCAAAGATGTAGATCTTTTTGTTTGGAACAACTTTTGTCTTGAACAGTTTTTACGAAAATTTGTACTTTTCGAGATATTTGCAAGTTTCCATACTTTTGGAACACCCTGTATACATCAATTTTAATTTTACAAGTAGTACGAAGTCAGGTTTTTGTTTGACGATTTACCTCTCTAATGTGCATCTAAAATAGAAATTATTATGCCATTAACATTTGACTTATTGAGATACTTATTGAAGTATCTCATAATAAGATAGGTAGTGAATTAAATGTGCCAATTTAACACAAATTGAATCAAATATCTTTTTGATTTGAAACACTTAAGTACCTAATTTTAGGATAGTTGTTGTCAGATTTTGTGGTGTATATATACAGTTTTTAAGGAATAACTACCGAAAAAAATGCATGGTTTCTGAATTGAGTGGAATCGGGTCTCTCTGTAGCTTAATTAGTAGAGCTTCTTACCGGCAATATGAAGGTTCTGGGATCATACGTCGGTAGCGAGATACGACCCACTCTCTTCAGAACTATAATGATATATTTAATAGGAGACACCTATTTATCATCCTAACTACTATATATATATATATATATAAATATTATTGATATTTACCTATACTCTTACGCAATATTTGAATAAGCTGTAAACATTTTTATGCTTTCCAGCAAATTGCCAAACTCCACTGTCAATTTATTTTACATCAAGTCCTTGGATTTAAATTTTTACAATAGTTGCGACAAGTCTTCCTGTGGATAAATATGCCTTTCTGCTACCGGTTTAATAAATACTTATTTCGTATTAAACGTTTTTTCTTACTGCAATTAAAAAAGGTAATTTGAATTCAATTACATAATAGTTTTCAACAATTATATACATTCTATTGAATGATACTTATCTTTTGCGTAGTCTGACATAATTTAGTCGCTAAAACAAATAATAATAAAAAAACGATTTAAAATCCTGGGGAATAAATATTTTAAGGTGTTGACTATCCCTTTGCCAAAGTTTTCTAGCCTGAAACATTCTCAAAAACCTTCCCCGTGCAGGGTTGCCAGATCGCACGATCTGGCAACCCTGCATGAGGGTATAGTACATACTGGTAATCGTGATTCACTGCCCTGAGTTATGAGACTTCGCACTTCTATATAAGATTTTACGTCTATTATATATACATTAATATCATTTTGATTATAACAATGGGGCCGTATTAGTGCAGATAGTGAGGTCAGGTTCAGAAAAATAAGGAATAATTCATCTTATAATTAATTTAAAACTCAGTCAACACAAGAAAATATTAAATAGGAACAATAAGAGTAACATTATGTAATAGTTGAAAATGACACTTGATGAAAACAATATAAGATGCAAAATGAAAAAATAATGAAAAATAATATTATACTCAAATCTCTACTAGTAACTATATTTTACATTCATTCTACAGTATTCTAGTCTCGGTTTAGCACGGCATCATTCGTCTTCTGCACTAATTCGGTCCCTAATTTTCAATTTTTCATGCGATTTATAATACATTCATACAAACGAAATTCATCAAATTAACATTGATAGAAATATTTTATAAGTATGGCGGATATTCACTACTTTACCCAGTCAGCACAGTAACTTGCAACAGTCAACCGAAATGGAACCCTTATGCTTTCACTCATTGCCGTCCACAAAATCCTGTTACCCCCCTCTAAAATCTAGCCGCTTTAACCGATTGGGCTCGAATTTGGTATACATACGTATTTTCGCGAGTAGATTAAAGGAAAGTTATAGCGAACCCGATTGGCATTGAATTTAATATAGTTATAGTACAAAAAACATGAAAATTCGGAAAAAAGTGTGTCCCCCCTTGACTTTTAGAGTTTAGGAGCTACAATGCTCAATACGTATTTTCGCGAGTAGATTAAAGGAAAGTTATAGCGAACCCAATGGGCATTGAATTTAATATAGTTATAGTATACAAAAACTCGAAACTTCAGAAAAAACTATGTCCTCCCCTTTACTTTTAAAGTTTTGGAGCTACGATGCTCAAATTTAGTATACCTCAAATTTGGTATACCTGCGTATTTTCGCGAGTAGATTAAAAGAAAATTATAGCGAACCCGATTGGCATTAAATTTAATATAGTTATAGTACAAAAAACATGAAAATTCGGAAAAAAGTGTGTCCCCCCTTGACTGTTAGAGTTTAGGAGCTACAATGCTCAATACGTATTTTCGCGAGTAGATTAATTGAAAGTTATAGCGAACCCGATTGGCATTGAATTTAATATAGTTATAGTATACAAAAACTCGAAACTTCAGAAAAAACTATGTCCTCCCCTTTACTTTCAAAGTTTTGGAGCTACGATGCTCAAATTTAGTATACCTCAAATTTGGTATACCTGCGTATTTTCGCGAGTAGATTAAAAGAAAATTATAGCGAACCCGATTGGCATTAAATTTAATATAGTTATAGTACAAAAAACATGAAAATTCGGAAAAAAGTGTGTCCCCCCTTGACTGTTAGAGTTTAGGAGCTACAATGCTCAATACGTATTTTCGCGAGTAGATTAATTGAAAGTTATAGCGAACCCGATTGGCATTGAATTTAATATAGTTATAGTATACAAAAACTCGAAACTTCAGAAAAAACTATGTCCTCCCCTTTACTTTCAAAGTTTTGGAGCTACGATGCTCAAATTTAGTATACCTCAAATTTGGTATACCTGCGTATTTTCGCGAGTAGATTAAAAGAAAATTATAGCGAACCCGATTGGCATTAAATTTAATATAGTTATAGTACAAAAAACATGAAAATTCGGAAAAAAGTGTGTCCCCCCTTGACTTTTAGAGTTTAGGAGCTACAATGCTCAATACGTATTTTCGCGAGTAGATTAATTGAAAGTTATAGCGAACCCGATTGGCATTGAATTTAATATAGTTATAGTATACAAAAACTCGAAACTTCAGAAAAAACTATGTCCTCCCCTTTACTTTCAAAGTTTTGGAGCTACGATGCTCAAATTTAGTATACCTCAAATTTGGTATACCTGCGTATTTTCGCGAGTAGATTAAAAGAAAATTATAGCGAACCCGATTGGCATTAAATTTAATATAGTTATAGTACAAAAAACATGAAAATTCGGAAAAAAGTGTGTCCCCCCTTGACTTTTAGAGTTTAGGAGCTACAATGCTCAATACGTATTTTCGCGAGTAGATTAATTGAAAGTTATAGCGAACCCGATTGGCATTGAATTTAATATAGTTATAGTATACAAAAACTCGAAACTTCAGAAAAAACTATGTCCTCCCCTTTACTTTCAAAGTTTTGGAGCTACGATGCTCAAATTTAGTATACCTCAAATTTGGTATACCTGCGTATTTTCGCGAGTAGATTAAAAGAAAATTATAGCGAACCCGATTGGCATTAAATTTAATATAGTTATAGTACAAAAAACATGAAAATTCGGAAAAAAGTGTGTCCCCCCTTGACTTTTAGAGTTTAGGAGCTACAATGCTCAATACGTATTTTCGCGAGTAGATTAAAGGAAAGTTATAGCGAACCCGATGGGCATTGAATTTAATATAGTTATAGTATACAAAAACTCGAAACTTCAGAAAAAACTATGTCCTCCCTTTTACTTTCAAAGTTTTGGAGCTACGGTGCTCACATTTGGTATACCTACGTATTTTCGTAAGTAGATTAAAGGAAAATTATAACAAACCCGATTGGCATATACTAATATTAATGTAAAAGTAGAACCGTATTGTACTGAAAACAAAGTTTTATATTTGAAACAATGAAATTACAGTTTAAGTGATAAATGATAAAAAGCTTTTTAGCTTAAAATAAAAAATAATTACAATACAAATAAAAGGAACTTAATACTTTGTTTTCATTGTACACTTCAACCATCAAGTTAAGTTTTTTTGGTAGGCTTATTTATCATATTAATATCTCAAACTGACCAAAGCATTTTAAAAAATACCCCAAAAAAAAAATTTATCGTCTTTTTTCCAAAAAATTTTTAAAAAGAAAAATTTAAGGTTATATATATAATAAAATCGTATTTCTTACGTCAATACAAATCGATCGGTATATATAAAGTATAATTTTGATTTAAATTTAAAGTATAGATGAAAGTTAAAAAATCAAAAATTCACATTTTGACCATTAAATTTTGTGATTATTTAAATTTAAGTTTATAGATAAAGTAATTGTATGCCTTGCCTGAAATTATTAAATATTTTAAATACTATTCAAAATCCCTACCACTAGTTTATCCCCAATTTTTTATATCATGGCTAAAACTAAAAAATGTGTTAACTACGAAGTTATTATTGGGCACGCAAAAATTCCCTGATAATTTAAATTCCTTGTTTATTCCCGGTTTTCACGGTCGCTCGCCACTATGTGCTAAGAAATATATACAATCGAAGTATACTCATGGGACGTTTCATTAAAAACGTTTTCGTGCACTTTTTAAAATCTTAAACCGAAATGAGATCCAAAATATATGTAAGAATTTTCATACGTTATTAAAAGGTCACTATTTTAATTATTTGACATAATTAGTGCTTCTTAGATAAAAAAATTTATTTTTTGTGATTATTCTTCTGAAAAATAGGTTTGTGACTAGACTGTAATGATATTTTATTTATACATATTCGTATTTTATTTAAAAAAATATTACAATTATGAATTATAAAAAACATTAAATTAAAAAAAAATTAAAACCTGTAGGATAATGAATTTTTTACTTCAGGTTATAAAAATTACCTTGAAACTAATTTTCTTTATTTAGAACAATTTTATTGTTGATTTGGAATTTATGAAGCACTGGTTTTCCGAAAAAATCTAAATTCATAGCGAACTTTCAATGACATACAAAAATTCTGCCAAAACTTCTAATATACTTATATAAAAAAGAAAGTTAAAGTAAAACTCAAAACAGAATTATGTACAAGTTCTACCTTTCTGGATTTGAAACGAACAGAGTTAGTGTTAACTTTCTTTTCAAGACTGACTCGCATTACGTTTAATAAATAAAATGTCAATTCGCAATAACCGTTTTGTTTTCGCATTAAAATTATTACTCGCTTGTAGCTACTGCAAAGTATTTTCCCATTAAAACAACGCACATTGACTGACTTATATTATGTTCTATAATCAAGACTTGTATATACACTCCGAAAAATATACTTTCGCATCTACGCATTATATATTATATTATTCATAAAATAAAAGGAGAATTTAAAGAAAAATCTAAACATGAGCAGTTTGACGATAACATTAAAAAGAAACACGACAGTTTGATAAAAGAAAATAAATATGAGAATTTTATCAAAGCGAAGAGAAATTAAATTTAAAGAAATATGTATAGTGTGGAAATAAGGAAAACCGAGAATTTTATAAATTTTCATAAGGGGTCATCCATAAAGCATGTGATACATTTTTCCGAAATTTTAACACCCCCCCCCCTTCTCCCCCTAGTGGTGCTTTTTCCATTTACGATTAACATGTAGTGTGATATTTTGCTGACCCCCCCTACCCCCTAAAGCATCACATGCTTTATGGATGGCCCCTAATAAATAAGTTTATAAAAATAAATAAATGCCTACATAAATTTTATGAATTGCAAAAAAAACTGTGATGGAAAAGTCGCATTAAAAATAAAAAGTTTTAATAATAGACAATTTAAAACGACAAACATTATAAGAAAAAAATAATTTAAAAAAATCGAAAAAATCTTCGAGTATATTTTAAAAATAGAATTTATAATAAAAAATTGAGAACTTTGTTTGGTTTGTAAAAGTAAATAAATGTTAAGAATTTAAAACAAATTTAATGAATAAATGATTAAAAAATAAATATTCTGTTAGGAAATTTTAATAATTAAAGGTTTTGTTATAAAATTCAAGGTTGAAAACAAAATTAAAGGGCTTTTGAAGGATTTCATGGTATGCTGGACACCCTGGATCTGCTAGTTCAAAATTTTTTTTACTCAAATAGTAATCGCATTATGTTTCATTTCAATCGGTTTCCCAGCAATTGCATAGGTTAACAGCTACAGTCCCCTTTGTTGCTTCTATTATTATTCCCGGCGCTAAAACATCGCAGTATGACACAAAACGGTTAATTCTTGTTTGACGGACAAATCGCATATACTCTGTATTGTATGCTCCCCCGAGATCTTCGAATTCTTCCCCTATAAAACCGGATATTTTTTCTTCTTGATTCTGATAGGATATTATGTTCTTTATTAGTATAAATTTTTTGTCACGACAATACGCAATGTGATCACAATATTTATGCGGTACATCGGTTTTTTTTGCGTATTTGACACCATGTATGTATGCTTTCTGAAAGTAACTGATCAAAGTATTTTCCTCTATTTCTTTTCCGACTTCTACTAAAAGTTCAATTACTTCCGGGCTTGCACGGCGCAATTCTGGCCTACCTGTTCCTACAAAATAATGACATTCTGGCATGTCCGCAGGTACCTGTACAGTTTTCTTATCTAAAAGATCATCTACTATTTTCCGCGTAGTACGACTAATTTCTTCTTCTTCTGCGGTGCGTAAGATAAATTTCTTCATAAAAAAGCGAGTAACAATTTGTTCGGCGCGATGATTTGGGCTCTTAACTGACTCTGCAATGGGTCTATTCATTGATTCGAAAGGTAAAGTTGAATACACCCATGCAGGTCCCCAGTCTTCCGCATCAGAATGATAATTAAGGTGAATATTGAACCGCATGTTCACCTCGCCATAGAGATTTTCAGTTTCATTAGCTACATCGACCATAAAAGTTTTTGCTTTATTCAAGTCCGCATTCGTAATTGATTGATTATTTAGAATGAATAATGCTTCGCAGTACTTAACTTGATGGCTGAAATACGGTTCTGGCAAGACACCATCAAGACAAGGAAGCAAATAATATAACTGATAATTACGCCACTCTGAAGCTTTCCATACATTGGATGTTTCTATTCTACGCGATTTCCTTGAGATTCTTGATGGTGTCTTGATTGTCGTCAAAATGTCATTAATTTTTTTTTTATTCTCTCTTTGGCCAATGTACCAACCTTTTCCGACATCGGTCATATGTCTTTCATTGAATGTCTTAACGTTTCCTAAGTAATCTTTATGTGCTATGTCTACGACTTGCCCCTTTATAAATTCAAACCTTCTAAGACTTAACAATCGCGAACACCCCAGGACACCCCTAGATTCTATGCCAGTTGCCATTAACGCTCTTACATCCGCATTCATTGTTTCGCTTGTACGTGGAACTATTGGCTCGGCATTAAAGATCCATCGACGCTCGACGCTTTTTCCTTGCGCTAAACAGAATGTGCAGCCGTATTCCCCGTTGTACTGCTTCATCCTTAAAACGACTGGCTTTGCAACTGAGTCGGCAGTCAAAATAACAACAGCAAATTTGCTGACTACCTCTCGTTCTGGTGTTGGTCGCCAAGTAATGCCAGTGTCGTGCAATTCGTTTAAATCATCAACCATTGACTCCATTATTTTTCCCATATTAGGGGTTTTTTTCCCTACCCATATGCCTGCCATAAACATATATCTTTTTCTCGCGTGTGGTGACAATTCATTAAGTTGTAAGAGGAATGGGTAGCAAGAAGCTTTTGACGACTTTGCAAGTTTTAAGCCATCAGTCCATAATGTAAGTGTATAATTGTTCCGGTTGTTTAAAAAATCTTGAGATATGCGTAAATATTCCCTACCATCATATATGTCTTCTATTGCATCGGGGTCTATCTTAACTCTCGTCTCCTTGTATTGTAACGCAGTGGCTGCTTTTGGGGAATCTAAAAATTCTTTTATTTGCGGTGCTAAGCGAATTTGAATAAATGTCCCAACAAACGATTCATCCTTTTCTGGACCACAAGCTCCACAATCGCAATCTCTTTCTACCTTCTTTCCGTTGCCAATAAGTTGACTACACATTTCACAATATAACCGATAAACTAAGTTAGAGTCGTCTCTTCCAAGTGTTTTCCATAAGGCTTTCTTCGTTGTGGGGACATTTATTCTAACGTACGTTTTTTTTAATAACTGCAATCTCTGTAAAAGTTGTTCGTAGGTATTATTATATTTGACAGTGAATGTTAATTCGATTAAAAGGTGATCTATCGCTTTTAATTCCCCATTATCTGTTAATTCTCTACGCATTTCATTTCTTCTTGCTAAACCTTGAAACATTGGACGTGGTGGTTGTTCATTTGCATAATCGTCATCTTCTGGATGACTATCAGAATCACTTTCTTCCGTAGTTTCTTCTCTATCGTCTTCTTCATCGTCGTCGCTATTACTCAAAAGTAGATCTTCCAGTTCTTCTGCTTCTATATTATCAGATATATCTACGCTTTCAGATCTACCTTCGCTAGCAGATCCATCTACGCTATCTACTCTGTCTACGCTATCAGATCTACCCCCGCTATCAGATCTATCTATGCTATCTAATCTGTCTACACTCTCCAAATCACCCATGCTGTCTGACCTATTTTCGCTAGCAGATCTATCTACACCGTCCGATCTTCTTACATTATCAGAATCATCCACGTCCATCTGTTCATTTTCTCTTTCTCTCTCATTTAAATTAAGGGCTTGTGATACCCTAGGCCTCTTAGCATTACTTAAACTTTCAATCTCTCTCTCATTCTCATCATTCATACCTAAAGCTCTACGATTGTTGGAACAACCTGCGTGCGAAGTCTCATCATCTAATCTTCGCTCCATTTTGATTGTATTGTTGAATCTGAAAAAAAATTATTTAAACATGTAGATAATACATATAAAGTTAAATTAGTAAGAGCTATTAGTAAGAGCTGAACAAAAATTAAATTTCTTTGAATTTTATGATGAATTGTAATACAGATACAAAAATGCATTAATTTTGCTATCTATTGAGAAAGTTTTGTATTCGTGACGATTTTCTGTTTTTTATAAATGGGTTGTAGAAGCTCATTTTTACCTAGAATGCATATATTTGAAGTTATAAACAGATGTCCAGATGTATTCGTAATTGTTAATGTCAATTTTGTCTAAGGCATATTCCTTGCAAGAAAACGTATGGACTCAGGTTTATAATTTATATATTTTACTAATATTTATAGAGCTGAAGTTTACAACGTCAAAACTGACAGGCGGCCATGACATGACAACAACATAATCCATAATAAATACATGGAAAAAAAAGTTTCGTACACGAAGAGAAATAGATGGTACGAGGTACTATCTAGATAGTATCAGGTACCATATTTGATATTACATAAACGGACAGCTACCTAGATTCTATCAGTTACAATCCAGATTTTACGGAGTAACGTCTTGATTGTAGTGGATAACATAACCATATTTCTTGTAACATCTTTGACGGTACTGAATAACATCTACTTTTAATCATCAAAATCTTACCATCCATTTCTCTCAGTGTAGGAATTCCCGAAATTGAGGATATGTACAAAAGTCCCTAATTATTACAGATCTTTTATTTGGAAAAAGATGGAACTTTTGAAGTAGATATTCTTTCATCTACCTACAAATATTCTTACGCACACTTAAATCTTATAACATAACATAGTTTAGCTATATACACATATAAACCCAAATACACGATGCTTTAATTTAGCGCTTGGGTCAAACAAGAGGATCAATTTAATTTGCCAATAATGCAAATTTTTTATTTTAACTTCAAGAAATAAACATTTCTATAACTAATATAGTTTATTTTGAATCGTTTGTAATTTATAATATTACAGCTGAATTTTAAATGAACAAAATTATATATTTTACTTAAAAAATATATACTTAAAAAAAAAAAATATATATATATATATAGGGGCCATAAGCCTTATATTTAGGCCATTTAGGATATTTATTTAAATGATTGAAATGTATTTTTTTTACAAAAAAGAAGTATATTTTCCATGATTTAAGGTGAACGGGAGAATTTTAGTCATATTAACCCATTGAAACGAAGAGTTTTTGGCGGACAAGTTTTGTAAAAAATTGTTGGATTCACTTGAAACTTGTTACTCGGAGGTTTTTTAGGGTCGCTGATTACAAATCTCAAGTCAGATTTTTAAAATTCCCATTTAACCTTAAATGATCAAAAATATATTTCTTCTTTGTAAAAAAATACATTTCAATCATTTAAATCAATATCCAAAATGGCCCAAATGTAGGGCTTTTCGGCCCTCCTCCTTTTAATAGTTTCGAACAAAATACCCTGAAAAAAATTCATTTGATTCAAATAATCTTGACTATTATCAAATAAATATTTATTTGTATCAAAGAATTATTATTTCAGTCAAATAAATGGTATTTATTTCAAATGCAGAAATTTTTAGTTCTAATAGGGGACACTGGGTCAAACTGGCCATGTGGGTAAACCGGCTAGGTGTTAATTTCTCCGAATTGGTCAAACTTAAAAGTATGTTAATTATAAATTTTAAAATACTATATTAAGAATACCTTATTTCCTCAGATTGACATTTTTTAATTGTGTTTGTGCAATTTTATAAACAAAAGTTTGTTTTCTCGCTTCCGCTGGAAATTTTTACGGATCTGTTCATAAGCAATTTGTGAGAAAATCGTGTAATGTTTATTAATTTTTTTTATGTTTAAAAGGTACATACCTCAGTTAAATTTATCGGTATATTATTTAATGATTTTACAAAGCATTTTTTTATACAGGTCTTAATTGTCAAAATGGGCCTGCGGGGTAAACCGACCAATTTTCAGTGATGCAAACCGGCCATTGTCTGTTTTCCTTGCAACAGAGATTCAGGAAGATTATCGATCGGCTAGGGAACTTCGTGCTCGCTTTCGTTAATCTCCGTCCTTTTTACAGAGATTTACGAAGTTTTACGAAGTTCACCGACAGATGTTTCTTCGTGAAGGATAACAATTAGTTAAAACTATTTGTTTTATAATAAATAAGATGTTTCTTTAATTGTAATTTAATCCTATCTTATTATTTTCCTTATTGGGAAGATTGTTTTCTTTCTTTTAATTCTTTAGAAAAATAAAAAAAATGGCCGGTTTACCTCAGGGGTGAGGCAAACCGGCCAGTTTGCAAATTTTTTTAAAATTGATGCAGCAGCTAAACAATACATTTATCTATGGGAAAAAGTTGCGCAATTAGATGACCTTCTCAACAAGCTATTATAAAAGGTTTTTCATTACTTTCTTTAGTTACTAGAGCCTTACAACTGTTAACATTGCCGGTTTGTATCAGTCTCCAATAGTTTATTTAATTCAAATAAAAATTATTTGGTTTAAGTATAAATATTTATTTGATAATAGTCTAGTAACCGATTATTTGAATCAAACAAATTTATTTCCAGTGCAGTTATTTAGCTCTTTCAAAAATATATAGGTGTACATCTTTAAATATATATATTATTACTATATGTGACGTTCCATTAGGAAAGAGACCTTAGCTGCAAAAAAATGAAAATTGAGTTTTTGATATCAGTCGGCAGATTTTGAGTTGCTCTTTCAGATAAAAAAGTTAAAAACTGTATTTTTCTATTTAGTTTTTTTGTAATAAACCTTTAGACATGACCATGTAAATCGCGTTCCACCACAGACTACGGAAACCATCACCACTACTACACGGAGAGAAAAATCTGCCTTTTATAGTATAGAAAGGTTTACATTTAATGCACAGAAATTTTCTATGCTATATAGGCATGAAATTTGAGTAATTATAGTACAATCGTATGTCTTTTTAGCATGAAACTTGTCTATGCTAATAAAGTTTGTCATATAGCCTCTTATTACATACTTATTATACTTTTAATCCAACGGCGCCATGCGAAGATCGCACATAACATCATCCTACTATTTTTGCATAAGTTCTATGCTTTTTCGGGGATAGACTCTTGCAACTGGCGATTAGGGCAGTTCCAATTAAGTAAAGGTGGGCGTGGCCTAATCGCCAGTTGCAAGAGTCTATCCCCGAAAAAGCATAGAACTTATGCAAACATAGTAGGATGATGTTATGTGCGATCTTCGCATGGCGTTGTTGCTATTAAACTACATGTTTTGTACTATAGAAGCATATATACTATGCTTTTTTAGTACGGACAAATACTATACTAAAAATTCTCAAATCTTTGCTCTATTAGTATGAAAAGTTTACAGAAAAATAGCAGCAATCTATTTCATACTATAAAAGGCAGATTTTTCTCTCCGTGTACTACTGCTACTAGTATACTTGTCGTATGCGTGAGCATACGACGATGTAGTAGTAAGGTGGTGGGGCTGATTTTCGATGGAGCGTCTCAACAAATCAGGGACGCTCTACTTCAAATGCCTTCCCTGCGAAATTCGTCTATTGCAGGTAAGGTCCCTTTCCTCGTGGAACGTCACATATTATAAAAAGATATCGACGCCGCCGCCGCTAATTTAAGAACGAACGCTAGGCGAGAACTTCGACGCTACGCGGTAGGTCACAGTACTCGTCTACCATTCAACGCACGAAGCATTCAAACTCGCGTACCGTTCAGAATTTGTCTTAAAAATTGCAGATGATTGAACACTACGCGGGAACTCACTATACCTATATTAGTATTGTAAGTCTGATTTTAACCTCAAACACAGCGACGTCTTGACGTTAAATGATCGCTATCTCCAGGATTGTACTAACCGTGTTAAAAAAATAGGTTAAAAATTAACATAACATCAATACTCAAGGTCAAACGACAGAAACATAGATAAAAACAAACATAACCACGAAAATCAGGGTTATATGTCATAAACTATGGTTTTCACGGAGTTCAGACGGACATAACCTCAAAACAAGTCTCATAGGTCAAGACATGACCCTCCCTTTAAAAATTTGAAGGTCAAAGGTCAAAGGATAACATAGCCTTAAATTTACGTTAAAGGTCATAGGCGTGGAGGCAAACATAACCTCAAAATTTGGTCTAAGTCATAAAAAAAATTAGGGTCGTTGGTTAGAGGGACGTCATCCGTGGTGCATCTTGGAAACAAATTCTTTAAAATGAAATAATAAAAATTTTTATTAAAGAATTTGGCTAAAACCAATCCTTGAAAATATATGAAAACTTATTACGTTTCTAATTTTTTTTTTATCAGAACAGATGAAAATTTAATTTACGGATGCAAGTTAAAATAAACAGGTTAAACCTTCGCTTGACAAGATGCCCACCCAGGGTGGGCCAGACAAATTGAAATTGCCATATCTTCTAAATTTTTGCTTTAATTGAATCGCGATTTTAAGTCACTGAACAAAATCTTAAGAACTTTCAAAAAATGTAAAAACAAATTTAAAAAAAAAATTTCTTCTTGATTATTTATAACTTTTATCAATGTATGTACGGAGATAACCGGGATGATTCAGATATTTTTTTAATTCTATTTTACAAAAATACTTGAAATCATACAGACTTTTCACTGTGAGTGTTTTATGATGTCAAATAATAGATATAAAAAATATTATATTGCATTTTTCATTTGTTTAAACAATTTATTGTTATTATTTATTAACTTTCTTTGTTCTGCACCTAGAAAGATGCAGTTTTTTTCTAATTTTGCAATTTATCAAGCCGAATATAATAAAAGATAGATTTGATGTAAAATTGTAAATTCAACAATTGTTTAAACAATTGTTAAATTAGTAAATTTATGTCAAATCTGTCTGGCTATATTATATTCGGTTTGATAAATTGCAAAATTAGGAAAAAACTGCATCTTTCTAGGTACACTACAAGAAAGTTAATAAAT